TTCATTTCTTTGTGCTCAGAGCATGTGTTCATTATTAGTTTGATTCTTTGCTATCTCTTGAGACTTACTTTGTGGACTAGAACATGATTATTTTGTTAAATGTTTCATGTGTACTTAGAATATGCCTTCTATTTTGTGGCACCAATTTCTATATATTTCCTGTGTGTTGAGTTTTGTGTTTATTTTGTGGTTCTCATTATATTTGTTATATTTTTTTCTATCAGTTTGAATGGGTTAAGGTTGAAACTCACACAGTATAATCATGGATTTATTAATTTCTCCATTTAATTATGTCAAGTTTTGCTTTATATATATATTTTAATCTATTATCGAGCATATACTATTTTTGTTTGTTTTTTGCGGTACGCGGGCCTCTCACTGTTGTGGCCTCTCCCATTGCGGAACACAGGCTCCAGATGCGCAGGCTCAGCGGCCATGGCTCACGGGCCCAGCTGCTCCGCGGCATGTGGGATCCTCCCGGAACGGGGCACGAACCCGTGTCCCCTGCATTGGCAGGCGGACTCTCAACCACTGCGCCATCAGGGAAGCCCTGGGCATATACTATTTTAAGAGTTATATTTTATCTGTCAAACTGTTCATATTATCATATAATAGTGAGCCTTTTTATTTCTATGAAAGCTGTTTGCTTTGAAGTTTCTTTTGGCTAATATTAATGTTAATTTATTAATAAGGCAATTAATATTTTATGACTATTCACAAATAAAATTTTAGAACAAACACATCACCAAAATTATTTATTTAAAAAATCAAGACAGCTAGACCTATGCAGTTTCCGTGATGGCCTTTTATTGTTAGCAGAGGCAAGAGTAGAATCCAGCTCTTCTATTATAAAATTTCTTTCTACTCAGTTGTAACAGAGAAGGCAATAATTTTTGGTTCAAGAGAATATACTTTCTCAAATAGAGCATGAAAGTAAGAGCAATAAACAATCTCTTAAATATGAATTCTCCTGAAGGGAAAGCATGTTTTACAGTATTTGTTATGCTGAATTACCATGCTCAGCATATATGTCATGCCCAAACAATTCTTGTTTTATTTATGAGTATTTCTTAGAAGGTGATATGAAATTTCTTCTATTACTAGTTTAAAATTTCATTCAGAAAACTAATTAATTTATATAGGAAATATATGCAAATGCTAAAAAAAAAAAATGAACCTATGCAGAATAAAGTAAAACTTAGTTTTCTTCCCACTCCTGAACTCATCACCAGTTCCCATGGCAGAAGTAACAGCATTCCTTCATTAATCTTTTAAGATGTATTCTGTGATTTACCATCACATAGGTCTAGAAAAATCTTTTATTTTTTAACTTAAATGGTAGCATATCATGCACACGGTTCACATCTTGCTGTTTTCAACTTACAAAATATTGGAAGTTATTCCACATCAGCACATGCATATTAATCACATTTATGTGGCCTTATAATATTACACTCTGTGACTATCATACATTATTTATGCAGCCATCTATTGAGGAATATTAATGTTGCTTAATCTTTTGCTACGAGAAATGATATTGCAAAGGATTTCCATCTTCATCTGCAAATTATCATATGTACAACTCTACCTTTACAAATGGACTTACTTGATCAAATAGTGTAATATATATATAAACTTTTGATGGAATATTGCACAGTGACGCTACTTAGGGGTTATACTTTTGTTATCACTATACCAGAGTGCCTTTTGTCTACATTTTAATCAAAACAGTGTCTTATCAAATATTTTCATAGTTTTAAAATCCATTTATCATTTTATGACAGAAATTGAATACTTTTTAAAATTTCAAAGTTGTTTATATTTTCCTTTCTTTGAATTTTCTTTTTAATACCCTTTGCCCCGTTATTCATGTATTTTTTCTTGTCAATTTGTAGGAGCTCATATGTATTAAATAATTTAATCCTTTATTATATTGCAGATATTTTACCCAGTTTTCCTTTTGTCTTTTGACATTTTTTACATTGTTTTTTCTCCTACAATTTCTTCAGTAACAATAAAATTCATTCTTTTCTTTAGGTCTTCTATGATTTGTATCAAACTCAGAAAGGCTTTCCTCATTCTAGCATACTAAAAATAAAATAACACATTTATGTATGTAAGAAAAGTAGATACTTTTGAAGAAGCAGTCATTTTGTGATTTAAAAACTGTGTTCTTTAACATTATTCAATATAAGCTTCTCTAGCAAGTAGCTGCTGCACCTACAATTTACTACTTAACTAAGGGCAAACAAACTATAAGCCAAAGGAAGGGAAGGCTCTTCAGAGCTGTAATGTCCCTAGTTTCAGCATATGTTAAGAAATAGCTGAGTATTTTTGGTGTGTCATCATCCAACCTTTTCTCTTACCCAGTATCTCTTTTGCTTATTCCTTTGAGCGATTTCTGGAACTTAATAGTCATAATAATTATTAAATATTTATTAAGATATTATTAAGTATTCACACTTTTAACTGTCAATTATCCTGATAACTTAGTATGTTATACACTTTATAAATTAAAATATTGAGGATCAGAGTGTCTGAGTAAATTTCTCAAATTTATACAGCTAGTTGATAGCAGAGCTCTGTCTTAACCCACAGTTTCTGACTCCAAGTCTGTTACTTGCTGACTACATCACAGTTACTGCTACATTTGTGTTTACTGTGATGGTTTTCAGCTTATAAAACAAATTTGCAGACGTCATCTAATTGGATTCTGATAGCAAGAGTTTAAGTTAGATTGAAAGGTGGTTATTGTTAACCTCATTTTACAGGTAAGGACATTTAATTCCTGAAAAGATAAAGAATGTTTCTAAGCTAATAGTTGTTTCACAGCCAAAGCAGGTAATCAAATAAGGATTGCTGATCCAAAATTAGTTATTATTTCTTTTAAACAACTGTGCATCTAACACAACCTTTTTTTTTTTTTTTTACTTTAAAAACGCTAAATTTTGGATTTTAAATTTTATGAGTATTTGTTCTATTGGGAGCTTTCTGGAACTGGTTATTTTGTACATGTTTGGTGTCTTGTATCAGTTAGCTATTATCACAGTAATGTTGTGCAATAAACACCATAATACTATGCAATAAATATCCATAATACCTAAATGATATTAGGTATTATATCAACAATATACATAATGTTTGCTCACAAATTCTCAGGATTTCTGGACAGTTCTTATGGTCATGGCCAGGCTTGCTTATACTATGTGATCAGCTGAAGGGCAAGTAAATGACTCTGCTGATTGTGGCAGCATCTCTCCCATGCTAGCTGTCAGATAGTCTCTTAGGATGGATTCAACTCTTCTCCACATTTAATCACTCAAAACACATTTATTTAATGTGCTGGGCAGAGCTCCCTAAAGTAGATTCACCTCCAGTGAAAAAAAAAATGGCAGGTGACTTCCCTCCACCAAGGCAGCCAGCACCTTCTAATCTAAGACCTGGTATGTACTATGTATTCCCTGGTGCTAGGTGTTAGGGACAGTATAATGAGCAAGACAGATGAGATCCCTGTTTAAGAGAGTTTATAATCCAGTGAGGAAGATCAATGGCAAACACAGAAATATTGATTTTAAAGTGTATCTCAAAAAAAAAAAAATAGGCTATGATGGTATAGAATAATGGAGGTGTGCTTTTATTAGATAACTGATCAGGAAAGACCTCTCTGAGGAAATAAGATTAATAAGAACAGTAAACCTGGTTGCAATTGACAAAATCCCAGTTCAAATGAAGTTGAATAGAGTTAAGTGCATTGGCTCATATACTGAAAGTATGAGAAGTGTATAGGGTATTTGAAGGAAGGAGCTAGTCTTAGGGGTAATTGGAACTACAGATTTGAATGTCCTTAGGACATCATGGTCTCTCCCCTGGTCATCACTGCTTCTGTTTCTGAGGCTTTTTTTTTCTCTTCTCCTACAATACCACGAGTAGACTTACACAAACTACAAGGACATGAACTGACAACACTAGGCTGAGAAATCTGTGACCATAGAAGAAAAGAGACTCTTTCCCCTCAGCTTGAAAACTTCTCTGGAATTTTACAAACCCGTCTTCCTGACTTAGATCTCACATCCACCTCTTGAGTCAACCGCTTTGGCCTGGGATAATTATAACAGCTCACATTCACAGACATGTATAGACTTGGGATAGGAAAATCAATTTCCCTAAAGAAAAGCACAAAAGAGTGGCACTAACATGGAAACAGGAGAAATCTTTGTGAACCTGGATCCCTCCCTCAAAATGTATATTCATCAAGTGAATTCATGTCTAACCCATATTAGTATGTCCAATGGTAATTGGTATAGGACTTAATACATTTCAAAATGATAACATAATTTTTTTTAACTTTGGGGTATTAAAAATTCTTTCTTTTAGGTACAAAAATATAAAACTTTAATCTCATATTTGTTTTCAAAGCTTTTTCTGTTTCTCCCTACTCAGGCCTGGTCCAGGATTAAAAACTAGTGGGGGAAGAGTTGTAGACATGATCTTCTTGGGTTGTAGAGAGAGCCACCATCTTCCCTCATGGAGAGTATTCACTAATTATCAGCCCAATAATTGTTTTTTGTTGAATCTCTCTCCTTTATGGATCTAGAGTCATGTGATGGGCTAAGAGTGGCAGCGTTAGTTTTATTCACCTCTTAGCAATTCCTATGGTGATGTTTCTGAAGTTTAGATTGTCAGCTGAAACTACTTTAAAACAGAAAGTCTTACATTTTGTCTTGGAAATGCAACAATTCTTGTATTTTAAAATCAGAATCAGGTGTATAAAAGTTCAAAGAATAAAGACACATTTATATGTTATTTTAATAAATACAAATAAACCTAAGTTTTTCAAGTTTCTTTTACATTTTGGATTAAAAGAAAGTGTTCCTTTAGTGAGAGAAAATTACATAATAAATTATACTTTTAAATAAATGGATTTTGACCTCAAGCACTTTATTCCACTTACTAAGCCTATAAATATTTTCATAAGCCTATTAAAATAAATTTATTTTCAGATCCTTTTGAAGCATTCATCATCTTTTCAATTCGCCATGAGATCAGAAGGATTGATCTTCATAAAAGAGACTATAGTTTACTTGTTCCTGGATTGAGAAACACAATAGCACTTGATTTTCACTTCAATCAAAGTTTACTTTATTGGACAGATGTTGTAGAAGACAGAATATACCGGGGCAAGCTTTCTGAGAGTGGAGGTACATCTATTACAATGTTGACTTAACGTTCAGATTGATTTCTAGCTGAAAATTCCAGAAAAGTATGCTGTAATCAGAAGGAATTTTGATTAATCTTTGGCCTTTGGTTCTTCATCTTCTCCCTCATATGTGTAAAACCAGGGATGTGAAGTGTATGTGTGAAGATAGGGGAGGGAAGTGGTGAAGGCCTGTACTGTTCACACCATTTTCAAGTTGTGAACTTTTTCATGCATATTCGGTGAAGAAATTTATTTACAAGAAAAAAAAAGCACTGTCTCCTACATACTAGTAGTCATATTTTTGTCAGTTAACATAGCTTGTGTTTTATTTGGTTTTCACCTTTCAGCATAATTCAAAGTAATAATGAATTATTACAAAGATGACAAATATGAGCTGAATATGTTTTTCCCGTGATTTGACATCTCTTTTCTCCAATCTAGGCCGTTCTTTAGCAGCAAGGCCTTGAGATAAATATACGTAATAATTCTCTTGAAAATTTTAGATCTGTGTAGCATTCCAAAGGCCAGGTATTTCTATCACCATCAAATTCCTCCTTAAATCACCTATACAATTTTGGAAAAATATAGTATTTGAACACACTATATAATTATGATCTGTGATATTGCAAGGTACTGTGTCATATTGCAAGGTACTGACTTCAAATGATGGATTTAGATCCATGACTTTAGATGGTTAACTGTTCAAAAAACCACACTATTAAAAAGTCTAACAAAAGCACTGGCAATGTCATAAATTACAAAGAGCTATCCTATTAGAAAAAGGATTGTTTTTTAAATATATATATATATATATATATATATATATATATTTAATTCCAAAATAAATTAAGGAATGGATAAATAAGAATAGTGCTGGGTATTACCAAATTGCTTATTTTTATTTAGACCACACTACTGCCTTCTTCTCTCATTTGCAAACATGTTATATCCTGCAAGTCTTATGGCTTGCAGGATATAACATGCAAGCCATAAAACTTGGCTTATGGTGTGGAGGTGGGTGATTTGGGGCTTTTGTTAAGGTTAAATGCAGCAAGAGTGATCTTATCAGGCATGCTTCAAAAAAAGAGTGGGTGCTGAGTAGCTATGATGCATGTTACCCCAGGTGGACTTTTTCTTTTTATTCTACCCCTGAAGATCAACGTTTGAATTAAATTGCAGCAATTTTAACCAGCACATCATTATTATTTCCAAAATCCCTTGTTCTGACTAAAAAGTCAGAAGCACGAAATAACTTTTTTGCAACCTAAACATTGTTATTAGCCTCAGAGTTGTTTTAAAATTCTGTTATACTGTCACTGAAAGGATTTAAGAGATTAAAAATCTCTGCTGGGAAAGATCAGTGATTCTAAATTTGGGGCCTTCTTAGTTTCCTCTGTGCCAGGTAACACTATTGCACTATATCTCTCAAGGTTAATATAATGTTAAGTACTTCATATTGCTAATAAGTAGGCCTTTTCCTTTGTGCTTAACATGTTCCTTGAATGGGTGCAAGTGTTGGCTTCTCTTTTTTTGTAGGTGTCAGTGCCATTGAAGTGGTTGTGGAGCATGGCCTGGCTACCCCAGAAGGACTAACAGTTGACTGGATAGCAGGCAACATATACTGGATAGACAGCAATCTGGACCAAATCGAAGTGGCCAAACTAGATGGTTCCTTAAGAACTACACTCATAGCAGGAGCTATGGAACACCCCAGGGCCATCGCTTTGGACCCAAGATATGGGTAAAGAAGTTTGCCTTTCACAGATTCACTTTGGCATAAAAAATAATCTTTCAAATTAATACTGAATTCTATTATCTCATAAATTATGAGTCATAGTGCTTATTTTGTGCATGTAAATATGTGTGTATATATACTTGTGCATAGTTTTCTATACATGTGTGTGTTTATATGTACATATACAATTATATACATAATTGTGTGTGTGTGTACATATATCTATCTATATATAGCTATAAATATAGATATATCTCAACCAGTTTTAGTTTGTTACCATGAATTTTGTTATAGGATTGCTTATATAGGTACTTTTAGAGGATAGAACTTTTTTTTCTAAATGTGGGCATTTGGCCCTTTTGGAAGCTGTTGTAACTCTATTTTAAGCAGTAATTTAATGAATTTCTTTTTGACCTGACAAAGAGATGCTGTAATTGTTTCTAAGGGTTGCAAACCACAGTGTTTGGTCCGAACAGTCACTGATGTTAACCACCTCACCCTATATCTGTATTGATATTTGTATATACTTGGAGTTAGTTTGAAAGAATATTAGAATAAGCTTGAAAGAGTCCAGTATTGAGATGCTAACTACTGGGATATTTGAAGGACAAGACACATGATTCTGGAAAACAAGGTCAAATGTATAATTCAGGTTATTGCCCCCACTGTTTCCCTGTGTTCCTTTGTGAAATAGCAGAAGAGAGACAGTGGATTTGGAGCTAGAATACAAGGGTTCCAGCACTGCTCAGTCATTTATCCTCTGGGAAATCTACTCAAGTGTATTGTCTTCCCTTAGATTTCAGTTTTCTCTTTTGTAAATCAGGGATAATAATTTCTTTATAATTAGGTTGTTTTGAGGAGCTGGGAAAATGTGGAAGATAATATATAACTCATCTACATGGGAATGCTTTGCTCTTGCTGTTAATTGTTTATTTCTTTGGTAATTATTTCATTAATCCAAAATCATTGGCAAGTCTAAAGGATGGTAGAAAGGAAATTGTTTTTTGGCTCTGTACCTTTAAGTAATACAAAGTCTAGGGAGGACCACGGCGAGGGGGGAGCCAGCCAGGAGGGACTTTAATGAGATGAAGAAGAGTGAAAAGGGAGCCTTGTGTTTAAGTCAGCTTCCTGGCCCACACTGTCTGCTTTGTGCCCTGGTTTATGCCCAAGACCCAGAAATCAATAGATTGGGAAGTCTGTTTCTTTTCCTTTTCCTCAATTCAGATACAGAAATTAAAAGGACAAGGCAGCTTGTCTAGACCAAGGCTCCAAACTGGCAACTCTCATTGCTGTGTTTGTTTTACCTTCCACAGAGTTTGACATTCATTTGAATTAGTTGGCAAGAGTTAAAATATTGAAAGATTTTGTATACAACTCCGGATTTCTGGCTTCTTTCAAAAAAGTAGGGAGATCTGGCCACAATCAACAGAGCAGCAATTGTATCTTTTTTTTTTTTTAACAGCTTTATTGGAGTATAATTGCTTTACAATGGTGTGTTAGTTTCTGCTTTATAACAAAGTGAATCAGCTATACATATACATACATACCCATATCCCCACCCTCTTACATCTCCCTCCCACCCTCCCTATCCCACCCCTCTAGGTGGTCACAAAGCACCGAGCTGATCTCCCTGTGCTATGTGGCTGCTTCCCACTAGCTATCTATTTTACATTTGGTAGTGTATATAAGTCCATGCCACTATGGAGAACAGTATGGAGGTTCCTTAAAAAACTAAAAATAGAATTACCATATGACTGAGCAATCCCACTACTGGGCATATACCCTGAGAAAACCATAATTCAAAAGACACATGCACCCCAATGTTCATAGCAGCACTATTTACAATAGCCAGAACATGGAAGCAACCTAAGTGTCCATCGACAGATGAATGGAAAAGAAGATGTGGCACATATATACAATAGGATGTTACTCAGCCATAAAAAGAAATGAAATTGAGTTATTTGTAGTGAGGTGGATGGACCTAGAGACTGTCATACAGAGTGAAGTAAGGCAGTTGTATCTTCTAGCCTGGAGGTATGTCCTCCAGTTTACATGGTTTACGCTTTGCCCATTTCACTCATTACCTCCTGTAATAACAGTTCACTAGGAAGAGGTCATCTGTGTCTAATGAAAAGTTCCCTTTTTCAAACAGACTCTCCCTGAGGTTACGAGTAGATTGCCAATCTTGACCCTTTACTTTCCACAGAGGTCCATCATCAACGGAGGTTTTTACCCTCCGTGTAACAGCTACTGTTGTGAACTTTTCACCTATTAGACCTATCTACGTTGTACCAGCACCGTATCTGCATGAGAAACTTTCTGTATAAGGGAAAGTGGTATTTTGGAGAAAGTTGTAATTTTAGCAAGTATACCAACATGGTAGGAGAACTGCTTCTCAAAATAACAAATGGCACACAGAGAGAAAAAAACAAATAAATAAAACAGGTGTATAAAAAATCTTGAAAATAGTCTGATCAAGCAAAGCAGTAGATCTGGGAATTGAAGCTTCTTTTCCTATAGCTTGGAACTGATAATGCTTAGAATAAACTTATTTATCTCAGCTTGTTTGGGGAATAGCCAACCTGAGAAGAGAAAAAGAAAACAGAAATGCAAAAGATACACAACCCACAAATGCTATTTAAATGAAAATATCAGGCACTATTTCAGTGGTATAAGGGGATTTCCAGAAGTAAAATATTCTCTAAGAGTTGAAAGTTAGTATGGTAAGCTAGCCTCTGAGGAAGGAAAACTTGATAATGCTTCTGAGAAAGTTGATGTCCTCCATTGCTACTATGAAATTGTGAGGCTAATTAAGATAATTACAGTGGTAATAATTTTATTTAATGGGTGAAGAAATAGCACTTGTAAAATTGTTTCTGGTGTAAATGATCAAAGTTCAAATGGCAGTACCAATTCACTAACTCTAGGAATAAATTAAAAGTTTGACAGGTTTGGGTATCATATGATATGATAGAATTTTTATTATTAAAAATTATTTTATAAAGGATTGATATGGTTAAATATGAGGTTCATGTAAATACCTTTAGAGCCCAGTTGTAAATTTAAAATGTAGCAATTAAATTTTTAAAATGTAGTGCAAATATTAAAATTTATTTTCAGGTTTATTGGATATTTTGGTGAAAAGTTCATAGACATTTTTAAACATTGGACCTTTCATAAAGTAGGCTGAGAGACTAGTAAAAATAAGTATTCCCCTATTTCTCACATTATTGATGAAATAGGTAAGACATTTAAACTCCAAAGACATTTAAACTTTTTTTGAAAATTTTTATTTTAGGATAAACCCACTGGATAATTTTTCGAGAAATGTAGTTTGTGTAAATGCTATAACCTTTCCTACTAGATCATAAGCTTTCTGATGGCAGAGTTGCTTCCATGTCTATGAAATCCTTCACTGCCCTTGATATATATAATTGTGCTCAGTAAGTGCTTGTTCAGTAAATTAATGCATATGAATAGACCTTTATTTTACATGAAACTTACTGGAACTCAAGGATACAACTTAAAGAGTGAAGTATACAGTAAAGTACACTAATGGGTAATACTATCATCTTCTTTGACAATAAAGAATGAAAGAAAAAGTTTGCAACCAGCCACTTTGTTCCCTCAGCACAGCTGAGGAAAAAAAGCAGGCTATAACATTAAACCGATAAAACATGTTTACATCACATGATCTTCTGAAGCAGTCAAGGTCTTTGTGACCTTTTTTAACAAATCTCAAAAAAGAAATGTTTTAATCAATACTTTGCTTCCTCAACATAGAATCCACAGACCTTCATTTTACATTATAAGACATGTTTGCTATCATGTCACATTCCTACAGTATTCTGGGTTTTGACCCAGTGTCCCAAGTGACAAGTTATTCCAAGATGCTAAATTGGGCATCTTAGGGAGGAGCTATTTTTCTTTCATTCCATTTTAAAGGAATACACTTATTGCTGAGGTGACCTGAAATAGTACTTGAATCTCCTCTAAACATCAAGCTTATTATTAGGGAGTAACAAGCACCAGGGAGTTCAGAATCTACAGGGTACTCACTTCAGTTCTTGAACTTTCATTGCCTTTATGCTCCTGTAACTGCATGGTGTCTTCTTGCTTCTTTGCTGGTATTTAGTTTTCATTTGTCGTAATAAATGGGCTCTGCTATAACCATTGCAGCTGGTGAAAGCAGATATAGTAATTGTGAAGATTAGTGAGACATCTAAATAAAATTTTAATTTTATCCGGGAGCGTTTCTAAATGAAACTAATAACATTGTTGGTTTCAGAAGGCCCAAAGATTATAGATAACCTCTTTTTTTTTTGCCAAGATCCTTTATTTTCACCTTCTGCACCTTGACCTGATAGATTATAATAGCTCTTTCATGCCCATAATGGTACAAGTTGTTCATGGTCCGTTTACCCAATTTAATCCTGATACAGACTAATCTGTGAATGCAGGAACTATAGAATCAGTAGACTGTAGTCTCTTTTTTAAAAGCAATCATGGTTGAACATTTCCATACGTCCTGTAAGAAGGGATATTCACTCTTTGTATACTTGAAGAAATAATGCAGTCATTGAAATGCTAATACGTTTTAACCATAAAAAGAAAGTAATAAGGGAAAAATGATTCTTTTAAAAGACCACATTGTAAAGTGTACAAAAGAGTGCTTAGAATTTTATGAAACAATGATCCTTGAAATTAACTTTTAAAATTGATTGTTAACTGACTATTGTCAAGGTTAAGAATCTTTTTAAGGAAACTAATTCTAGAACATGTATTTTATAAAAAGTGTTGGAAATTTCCCACCTAAATTAACAAAAGATAGGACTCTAGTGACCACTGCAGAAGAAACAGCTTAATACTGCTATGTTTAGTGAAGAAATGAAGGGACCACTTATTTTATAATTCCTCAGAGTGTCCCAAGCCATACATTTTTGTCCACTAGAAACATGCATTTGAAAGTCTACAGTGTCTATTTCTGGTAAACCTACATATAGAGAATGCAGAATTGCACGGTTACTTATATGCATGTTGGGAATTGCTGCAACCACATAAGGCAGAAGAAGGTAGAAAGTTAAAAGAGAGACACCAATTCTCTATTTGTTATACAGGCAAAAGACAGTGTTTCAGAAGTCTTTGGGTCATCAATCCACAGTGTGGAGTACAGTGTTCTCTAGATCTAGTGGGATCTTATCCACAGATACTCAGACTACCTATGACTCTCAAATTCAGGGATTTTGTTTTCAGGGATTATTTTTCCTAGTCTTTTTCAAACTTGCAAATCTCTCTACTTTACCTTGTTTGTCAGGATATCATCATAAATTTAATCGATGCTAGGTTGGTCTTGTTTCTTCAAATAATCTTAATTTTTTAATGTTACGTTTAAGGGGAAGCTGATAAGTAACAGCCTGGTGTCAGTGAAAAGTTGTGTGCATCCAAAATTAAATTTGAAGTGAGACACATAATTCATTTCATATTCATCGTTTTCAAGAAAGGCATTCAACTACTTAACCAAATAGCCTACCAGCTTTATATTAATTAACCTTTGTTTTATTTAATTAGCAACAGATTACATATGATAACTTATAAGCAATATATAGTACTGATATTTCCAGATAATTAGCACTTTCTCATACAAAACAATCCTATTCTTAAACTTTAGTCTTTTCAGAAAAAGATTCCCAACAATAAGATTTTATAAATGTTCTCTGGTACATTTTAAAAAATTATCTATTTACTTAATTTTGGGTTAGTTACACTTTTAAACTTTTATTTTAGAAAATTTTAAATACACAAAATAAAAGGAGTTGTAAAATAAATTCCCTCGTGTCTATCACCCAGCTTCAACAATTATCAATACATTGTCCTCTGATATATTAATGTTCATCTTTATTCTTCCCCAATAGTTTGTGTAACTTATTCAAATATTTGGTGGTTAAACAATGAATGATTTAGATATTGTTTTTGTGGATATACTCCCACCACCAGAGCTATGGAAACTCCTAAAGATGCTAATGAAACAAAAACTTTTTTTTAATATAAACTCATTTTTTAAGAGATATTCTGTGAGATAAACCTATTCTATGACCTACTCCTCTGAATTTTTTTCTCATGGCTTTGACTCATGCTTACTTTGTAAAACTAATCTACCTTCACATACATGCTGTTGTAACATTTAAACATTGACATTAGTATTAATTCTCATTCTTTCTCTCCCTCTGTGTGTGTGTGTGTGTCTGTCTCTCTCTCCATTTCTTTAATAGTTTGGAATGACTTTGAATTTTGCCTTTAAAAGAATATTCTCTCTGAATATGTGTGTGGTTGCTTGTGTAAACACCAATGTTTCTATGTGCTAGCCATTCTGTGTGCTAAATTGTTTACATCCATTACCTCATCAAATACTCCGATCAGTGGTACTGTTAGAGTTTTTATTTACAGATGAGCAAACGGAGGCTGAGATTAAGTACGCTGGAATCAGTGACAGATCGAAAATTTGATTGCAAGCTTGTCTGATGCAAAAACATACGCATTGCCACCATTCAACGCTGACACAATTATTTAATGACATTTTTTGAAGGTCTAGTACTTAAGTTGTATGGGAACCTACTCATCTAGAAGGTCAATATCTTCTTGACCACACATGCCTTTAGCACACATACTTACTTAATTCTATAATGTTTGGTATTGTCTTCCAGTCATTTCAAATTTGTAATTCCCATATCCTATAAGAGATTATATACCTCTCAAAAATTGAGGTCATAATGAACACTTAGTTTACATCACTCCACATTTCCTTAAATGGATATAATAAATTTTTTAAAAGAGAAGAAAGTTTGAATTGCATTTTGAATTTTGTTCCAGAGGATTGTTTCATTTTTCCAAGATAGCCACCAAATTCATATACCTAAGGATCATTCATAGTAATGGAAGAATTGCAAAATAGCAAGGCTATATACAATTATAATGAAAACAAATTTATGTTTACCAGTAACTTTACCACTTCTGACCAAAATGTTGTCAGAACTGATAATAGGAAAATTTGTTGGACTGTCACTGTCTCTCCAGTTCTTTGCATTTTCCCTCCCAAAATCTCCATGCTGTCCATTGGGTTGGTTCTACTACCAAGGTAGAGAAGGCAACTACCGTTTATTGATTACCAACCATGTTCCTACTCCAGTACCAGATGCTTTCCCTTTGTTATTTTATTTAGTGACATGATATTAAAGAGTTAGATGTGAAAAGCATGAGAACAGAAGTTAAGCTATCCAGTTTCCCAATTCCATCTGCCACTTGCTGGCCATATAACCTGGTCAAGTAATATAACTTCTCTAAGCTTGTTTTCTCATCTGTAAAACATGGATAACTTTAGCCATGGCCTCATGGTGGATTAAATGAGATAATCTATATAAAGCTCTGAAAATAGTATTTAACGTATAGTAAGCACTCAAACATTAGCTAGTTGTAATAATTGTGGAATTGTTGTGTAACTATATTATAATACTATAGAAACATGCATCAGCAGTTTAGGCCACAGTCAATGAAACATAAACTATCTATTACCTAATAGCCTTAGAAATCAAATGCACAACATGAAACATTTGATGCCTGTCGTGTGGAACTGTTTATACACCATGAATTTGTAGAGTTACAAGTAGTATTTAGTAAAAAAATAAATTGTATTATAACACTTGCATGTTTGTATAAATCAAAATATATGATATCCTTCTGTTTCTCCTCTGTACCCTCTGTCATATGATCTGTTCCATTCATGTGAATCTAAATATCATCTCCATGCAGAATACTTTCAAATTCATGTCTCCAACTCTGCCACCTTCACTGAACTTCACCTTGGTGTACCACCCAGGTTCCTGGAAACCTCCTTTTTTATGTCTTAACATCTCAAGATCCAAAAATTCAAAGCTAAACTTTCAGTTGCTATCCACACCCATGCACACTCAATTCCCAGCTCTTAAAATCTGTTTCTCTTCCATTTTTCCCATTTCACCTAATGGATTCCCTGCACACCCTCTGTCTGTCCTTACTCTGAGTATGCCAAAACAAGAAACTGACAGTCATCCATGATTCTGTTCTCTACTTCATTCCCTACATCCAATTATCATTTAGTCCTGGCACTTAGTTCTACCTCCAAAATATTCCTGGAATCCATTCACTTCACTGCTATCACCATATCCCAAACCACTACCGTCTTTGCCTGGTCCTTTAAAATAGCCACCTGGTGTACCCATTCTCCTGCCTCTCTATAATCCACTTGTATATGATATCATGTTTCTCCCCTGCTTAAATGTACTTCTATTCCCTTGGAATAAAATCCCAAATAATTACCTTACCCTGCAAGATCACCTGCAAGATCACCCTCTTCAACTTCACCTTCTTCCCCTCTTCTCCTCACTGCCCCGTTTCTGATACATTGGCCTTATTTCTGTTCCTCAGTCACCCACTTTTTTCCCCCATTAGGGCTTTTGTATCTGCTGTTTATTTTTCATGTCCTGCTCTTTATACTGCTCTCCTCATCTCTCAGATTCAGTGTAAATATTACCTCCTCAAAGTGCTTTCTTTTCCTGATTACCTTCTCTAAGTAGATCACACACCTGCTATTCTCTCTCATAACAAAATTATTCTTGAACGTATTTCAGTTGCTGTAATTTTATATTCATGTGTTTATTTAGTCTGTCTCCCCCACTGGACTATAAGCCCTGTGAGGGTAGATAATGCATCTGTTTCTCTTGTGATTGTTTACCTACAGTGCCTAGCATGTCATAGGCACTCAATAAATATTTGTGAATTGAATGACTGAAACGAGTATTCTTTCCTTTTCTTCAGAATTCTTTTCTGGACAGATTGGGATGCCAACTTTCCTCGCATTGAATCTGCCTCCATGAGTGGTGCTGGGAGAAAAACCATCTACAAAGACATGAAAACAGGGGCTTGGCCTAATGGACTCACTGTGGACCACTTTGAAAAAAGGATAGTTTGGACAGATGCCAGGTTTAGAAAATGATTTTTTTCTTTATTTTCTGTTACCTTCCTCGGATAATATTTACAAAATAAAAATTGTTCTCATGTGCACGTATCATGTATACACACATTGACATCAGTGGTGATCTTTGTTTTCATTAGGATGGCTTTTTTTAATGTTTCTACAAATCAGATACAGGCCCATAAAATATTTTTTTACAAATTTTTTGTCATTTATCTAAATAGTATAAGCACATCACTGGACTATCTGAATGAGTTTTGATATACTACTGATGCATTTCCTTTTCTGTAGGTCAGATGCCATTTATTCAGCCCTCTATGATGGAACAGGCATGATAGAAATCATCCGAGGTCATGAATACCTTTCTCATCCCTTTGCTGTGTCTCTATATGGGAGTGATGTCTATTGGACGGACTGGAGGACCAACACATTGTCAAAAGCCAATAAGTGGACAGGGCAGAATGTCAGTGTGATTCAGAAAACTAGTGCACAGCCATTTGACCTTCAGATATACCATCCCAGTCGTCAGCCACAGGGTAAGTGCTTGTTATGAATTAACCACCAGAAATATTTTTACCTTAATCATATAATATTCAAACTGTAAAATAACTTTTGTAAGTTAAGTTGTTAATATTTTATGTATTGTATGATGGAAGTGGTACCAGCCTTTATTTTAATTAGCTCAGGGTTTTTTTCTTTGCCTTTTATTTATTTTATACACAAATAGAGAAATCTTAGAAATTAAGTGTTTTAACCCAAGTCCCCCAATTTTTAGTCACTGCTATTGCGTCAGTAAAAGATACTGTGGGAAGCTGTGGAATGTCTTCAGATTTGGAGTCTATTACCTAAATATGATCAGTAAATTAAAGGAAGACACTAAGGACACATTTATGTTGGCCCGCAAATGGTCACTGTGCAGTATATTGGGAAGAGAGGGAATAGTGTATAATAAAGGATAAACCATCTGCTTTGAGCTTTTCTATTTTAAGAGAATTCAGTTCACATGGACATGTGTGTTACCTATCCCCATGTATTCCACATTTTGGTCAGTAGTAATCTCTACCTTGGTTTTGTGATTTCATTTCCTCCACTCAATCCTTGTCAGAGTTAATTCTAAGCCTCACATTTCTTTTTCTTTCTCTTTTGTTTCTTTTCCCCAGGGTACCATGGCCATTCTGTGTAACATCAGCTCATTCTTTTATACCTCTTACCTGACTCTTCCCCATCATGATATATGTCATAACATATGGTACTCTCATTCCAATGCAAATAATGTTCCCATTATCATTAGCATATTTTTGTTTGAGACTTATGATACTCAAATGACAAGCTCTTTCTCAAAGAGGATACATTTTCTCCTTTTCTCCCTCTTTCAGTGTAGAGTAAGCAGATCTTACACTTCCTTGGCATTTCTGGTCTTAAGGACCACACTTCAAGACTTATTTTAAATTCATGTGGTATTGTCTTATTTTAGACTTGATTAAAAATACTCACCTCTGTGGTTGAAAAATTCTGTCTGTCCTGTGTCTTTCTTCAATATTTGGCCTTAATTCTCCCTTGAAACTATTTCTCCTACCAAAATGTCCTCATTGGTAAAATTTTCTGTGCTCTCTCTCTGACTTACTCTGATTAAATCTAGTAACCTTTCCAGAAACTAGAAATTTCTCACTTTTAATTTTCTTATATAATTGATCCTTCTTTGTTACATGGGATTTTCTACATGCCCTAAATTATGTGAGCAGTCACCTTAATCCTTTCCTATTACCCTTAGCTCCTCTACTCCTTTCATCCTACAGATGTGCAAAGCGTGAGAACATTAAAGGGAGAAAACAGCTTAATCATTTTTGTGCCTAATAGGCATTCAATAAATATACTGGATTTAACTAAATTGAAATAAGGCAAGAAATCATGATTCTGACCAGAATATGCCACTAGTACAATAAAAAAGATACTCTTCTCTAAGACATAGAGATTGCCAACAAACACGTGAAAGGATGGTCAACATCACTAATCTTTAGAGAAATTCAAATCAAAACCACAATGAGATATCACCTCACACCGGTCAGAATGGCCATCATCAAAAAATCTACAAACAATAAGTGCTAGAGAGGGTGTGGAGAAAAGGGAACCCCCTTGCACTGTTGGTGGGAATGTAAACTGATACAGCCACCATGGAGAACAGTATGGAGGTTCCTTAAAAAAACTAAAAATAGAGCTACCATATGACCCAGCAAGCCCACTACCGGGCATATACCCTGAAAAAACCATAATTCAAAAAGGCAAATGCACCCCAATGTTCATTGCAGCACTATTTACAATAGCCAGGACATGGAAGCAACCTAAGTGTCCATTGACAGATGAATGGATAAAGAAGATGTGGCACATATATACAATGGAATATTACTCGGCCATAAAAAGAAATGAAATTGAGTTATTTGTAGTGAGGTGGATGGACCTAGAGTCTCTCATACAGAGTGAAGTAAGTCAGAAAGAGAAAAACAAATACAGTATGCTAACATATATATGGAATAAAAAAAAAAAAAGGTTCTAATGAACCTAGGGACAGGACAGGAGTAAAGATGCAGAGGTAGGGAATGGACTTGAGGACACAGGGAGGGGGAAGGGTAAGCTGGGACAAAGTGAAAGAATAACACTGACATATATACACTACCAAATGTAAAATAGATAGCTAATGAGAAGCAGCTGTATAGCACAGGGAGATCAGCTTGGTGCTTTGTGACCACCTAGAGGGGTGGGATAGGGAGGGTGGGAGGGAGACACAAGAGAGAGGGGATATGGGGATATACGTATGCATATAGCTGATTCACTTTGTTATACAGCAGAAACTAACACAACTTTGTAAAGCAATTATACTCCAATAAAGATGTTAAAAAAGAAAAACAAAAAAAAAAGGAAAATGAAAGAAATATAACCAAAGTAATAAAAGTAAAAGAGGAGTTCTTCACGGAAAAAAAAAAAAAAGATATTCTTCTCTAAAACCTTCCAACAGTATGGAGGAGTATCTAGTCATAAACACTTATGGGATTAGTTTTAATTGTTATAATTGCAAAAATGTGTACTTATATGGTTTTGTACCCACATTTTTTGGTCTTTTGTGGGAACTTTAATTTTTGTGTTTGGAAAAATTTAAATGAATTGGACCATGAAAAATGGCCTGGGTCTATGTATTATATTGTTCCCTCCCTCAAAATGGAATCATTGTATTTCGTTTAATAACTGCGTGATTTACACACGTTGTCATGATAACTAGCAAATTCATAGAAAGGGAAGAAACATGATACTTCCAAGCTTTCCTGACAATTTCATATATATAGAAAGGAAGTGAGACATTCAGTGTAACTCATTTGGTTGAGGGGAGATTTTCTTGACATCTTTACTTTAAAGATGATTTATATGTGTCTTCTCCACTTTGCATAAAATAAGGAAGTTTTTACTATATGGATCTAATATAACATATTTTCCCAGAATTCAGGGCAGATATTCTAGTTTCTAGTCTACTAGAGAGAATGTCACCTATGATGAGAACTTGCTATTTCCTAAAGGAGATTCAGTCAGTTTCCAAATTTGAGAATGATTAGAGAACATTCTACTTTTCCCCATTGTAAGGATCACTGAGCATATAACAATCATTATCCATCTTGTTTATCTGCTTCAGTGAATTAATGCTTTCACTGCTGGGGGGTGGAGATGGGAAGATGCAGAAATCTACTGACTGTTTTATTCCCAAGGGTAGAATTACAATGAAAATGGTGACAAAGTTTCAGCTTTAACACAAGTACAATAATAACCCCCTGTTTTCTGGTGAAAAATAATGTGAGGTTCATGAAAACTAATACATTTTAAAAATACATGACATTCGGTTTTATAAAATTGAAATGTATATCTCACAAATTAAAGAAATAAAGGTTAGAAATATTCTTTGAAGTTATCTAATCCCCCAAGTAGGAAATTAATTAAAGTTTTAACACCAGTTTTCTTACAAGTAAGTGTTCATTATACGCTTAAGTTTCCAGTTTGGTTATTGGACACTTAGAATTTTTAAAAAAGAAAATCTAGTTTAGATTTTTTTTTGGTGTCTAATGTTGTTATTATATGGGATTAAGAAGAAACAAATCAAAGAGTAAACATATGAAATAGGGAGCACTAGTGGGTATTTTAAATCTAATTTTTTTTATGGTATAAGAACTTAGAGTTAATGGCATGGCCTTGAGAGTCCAACTGCCTGGGTTCAAATCCTATCCCTATGATTTATTAATTGTATGATGTTGGGCAGTTTACTTAACCGCTCTGTGCCTCAGTTTCCTCATCTTGAGATAATAGTATTTATATCATAACATCTAGTAAACATGAGTTAATCATCATTTAATATAAGCATATCAAACATGAGTTATTATGTGAAAAGATCTTAGAATGGTGTCTCATACATAATCAGTGCTTTGTGTTTATATATATATAAGTTAACTGTTAAAAAGTAACAGTTGTTGTGATCATATCATTTTCCTAGCCTCCTTTTGTTGAAATTTAGGTTACATTACTGTTTTAAGACAGTTTTGAACACATTTTCTCATATTTAAATAATTCATAATGGCCTTAATATCATACTTTCATAATCATATCAATTTTTAAATGAAAAATGCCAATAAAAATGTGAAACACAATCTGAAGGAGAGCAATATGATTGATTTATCAAGAGAATCCAGGTGCAGTCGAATGAGTAGATTATCAAATCTCTTTTCTCTACATTCAGGTTACCATCTATCACCACTCCTCATACACTAGTGCATGACATTAAAATTATGGTTATGTTAGTAAAAGGGATGTTTAAAAGTTTATTTAACATTGTAAAATAATATTTGCTCATTACCAGTAAGTTATAGAATGTAGAAAAACAGGGAACAGAAAAAATGTAAACCTACTTTTCCAGCTCCCAGAGCAACAAACATTTCCATGTTGTTTCTTCTGGTTATTTCAACAGAGGTATTGAATAACACAGTAATAAACAAAAGTTTCACTATCTGTTGATGAACTACTACGTGCCATTTAGGTTTTACTTTTTTTTCCTAATCATCAGAGCTATCAAACAAGGTAGTTATTCCCACTTTCTATGAGGAAGCTGCAGCTCAGGGAAGTAAAGTAACCTGACTCAGAGTAATAAATCTCATTGAAAGGCAGGCGGTACCAGGGTTTCAATGAGCATGCCCAACTTCATAGTCCATGATTCATTCTTTGCTAAATTAAGAAAGCCTTTGTATCTCTTCATATTTAATATCATGCTTTATTTTTAATTTTGTGTCTTCCTTTTTACACTTAGCATTAGCAACTCTCTTGGTATCATTGATACCTTATCTCGTTTTTAATAACTGCATATTTTCACATCACATGTGACTATCAAAATTGTTCCCAATTATTTGTCTATTTTTGGACACTTAGTTTGATTTTAGTTCATTTCTATTCTGTCACTAATAATTTTAAGGCATGTATCTATCCATAAATATCATTTTCCATATTTTATAGT